GGAGCTGTTGTTTTCCCGGTCATGTCTGGCCCTGCTAGACCTCTGTGTGCAGATCTAGAATGAATGGGAACATCCCCTATTGATCCAGTGTCTGAGAGCTTTCTCCAGTGCCCCACAGACACCGTGAGAATATGACTTGTCCATTTGTCCTGTTTGCACAATAAAATCCTTACAAATACAGTCACGATTCTAAAAGAAGACACAGCTGATTTGTTCCAAGTGTTTTTCAGTTTATGACTGCTCTAAGCCAGCCACCCCCACTATAGATCTGAAAATATTAGCTCTGAAGAATGAGACTGTCAGCCCTTGAGCCAAAGGGAACTAGGCCGCACTGCATACCTGAGACCCATTTTTAGCAGCAGTAGGGACTTGAATTTGTCTGCTGTTCATGACTCTGGCCAGAGGGCTCTGCATGGGGCTCTGGCCACATTTACACCAGTGGGATGAACTTGACCCCTGACTGTAGTCATGTGCCCTGACTCTGTGCTATTGCTTCTGCTCATGTTCCTCATTTGTTCTGTGGTTCCCTGAGTGTACTGGAGCCCTGCCCTGGACTATAGCCTGCTTGTTTGGGCCCTGACAACCTGCCCGTTGCCATCTGCTGGCTAATGTTCCACTTCAGCATGAATGGGGACACCCCTGGCATCAGGATGCTGCCACCTGCCCCTGGGCACAGCTGCCACCTAGCTGCTGCTGCAGGCCCTCCTTTCACTTGTCTGGACCAATCAGATCAGATAGGTGAAAGCTGGGCCACCATCACCTCAGAGGGAATGCTTCAGCCGGGTGAGTTCCCACTCCGCTGTAGCCACTTGGTCTTGAAAATCCTAGTTCACTCTTTTTAGGTTGAAAATTCTACCCCATATTACAGAAGCTTCACAGTTAATTTTCACCCTCACTAGATTAACTCAAAGTTAATCTCCAGAGTTTTCATCAACACTGACTTAGTTGTTTTATCTGTCAGGCAATAAAGGTATGGTTCTAGAGTTTATGAACTATTTAAGGGCATGGAAAAATATTTTGGATCTGACAAAAAGTAGTTCCAAAACACAATAACACACACTCAAATAATTTCTAAAGCAAAAGCCTTTACAGTTCTTCATAACCTAAACTTTTTACTTATGAAATATGAGTACATTTCATCATGCAATAGGTTGGGGCAGCTAAACTCGAGCAAGCCAAGGACCTGGAATTGTGATCTCATGGCAGACCCACGCTGCCTGCTCACATCTTCCAGCCTAACCCTTTCTCGCAGTGGCTGTGTGGCTGCCACTAAATGGTAGGTGCAGCCACGTTGCCATGAGTACTAACCACATGGCCCAGAGGCAGAATATTTGTTGAATGAGTGGGAGCATAGATGAATGAATACATCCTCCAATAGAAATGCATTAAGAGATTTTTAAAAACCAGAATGAGAGGGGAATGTGGGGTGTAGTTGCTTAATGAGTAAAGAGTTCCAGTTTTGCAAGATGAAAATGTTCTAGAGATTGGTTGTCTGGCCATGTGACTATACTTAACACTGCTAAATATACTTACAAACAGTTAAGATGTTTAAGTTTTATGTTTTTCACTATCAGAAAAAAATTAAAAATCAAATCAAGTTTTTAAAAATCAGAAATAAAATTTACGGAAAAATTCAAAATGCGCTTATGACAGCTATCTGAATCTCACTATGACCACCCTTCAGTTTTCATTAAGGATCTAGAAATAGAAATTCCATTTGACTCAGCAATCCCATTACTGGGTAAATACCCAAAGGATTGTAAATCATTCTATTATAAAGACACATGCACACGAATGTTCGTTGTGTCACTGTTTACAATAGCAAAGACCTGGAACCAACCCAAAGGCCCACCAATGATAGACTGGACAAGGAAAATGTGGCACATATACACCATGGAATACTATGCAACCATAAAAAACAATGAGTTCATGTTCTTTGTATGAACATGGATGAACCTGGAAACCATCATTCTCAGCAAACTGACACAACAGAAAATCAAACACCACGTGTTCTCACTCATAGGTGGGTGTTGAACAGTAGGAACACATGGACACAGGAAGGGGAGCATCACACACTGGGGTCTGTTGGGGGGGCTAGGGGAATGGCAGCAGGGGCTGGGGAGGCTGGGGAAGGATAACATGTAGAGAAATGCCAGTTACAGGTGATGGGGGTATGGAGGCAACAAATGAGAAATGCCAGATATAGGTGACAAGGGGATGGAGGCAGCAAACCATATTGCCATGTGTGTACCTATGCAACAATCCTGCATGATCTGCACATGTACCCCAGAACCTAAAGTACAATTAAGAAAAGAAGAAGAATGAGGGAAAAAAAAACATAGCCCTGACTTCCTCAGTGCTATTTTCATATATTATGTATGATTTATTCTGGGGCTTCTTTTGGGGTGTCAGTAATTGACAGATCCATTTGACAGACCAGACAGAATTTGATGGCATAATTGCAAAAAGAAAATAAAAAGTTTTACTTTCAATTTTATATAAGGAAATATAAAATTTTGTACAATTTGAAAAACAAAACGACTTTGAACAACAGGCTAGAAAAATTTGTGCAATTTCAAACTTTTGTACAATTTGAAAAACAAAACTTGCCTTTTTTTTTTTTTTTTTTTTTTACTTTAAATGTATACTATATCCAGCATTTCTCCCCCATCTTATCAAAACTTAACTTTTAACAACAGGCTAGAAATGTTTAACAACTTTGAAATAACTTCTCACTTTATAGTAAGTCACATGTCTTCAGTGTGTATGTTTATAATCACCTAGAGTCTTCAAACTCAGAAATAACTACCCTTAATGTGTTCATGTATGATACATACACAATATAAATATATTTTACATTGTGTTTTATATCTTATTAATGTATCAGGAACATTTTCTGAAATTGACACATATTTGGGGTTTCCTATGTTAATTTGGAATAAAATACAAAGTCCTCATCTTGGCCTACAAGCCCCAGTGTGATCCATCCTAAGCCTCTCTGTCTCACTTAGCTTTTTCTACTCCCCACCTTCCACTCACTGTGTTCCCATCACACTGGCCTTCTTGCTGGTCCTCGGGCATGATCAGCATGCACCTGCCTCAGCGCCTTTGCGTTTATTGCATCCTCCCTCTGGAAGCCCCTTCTTTAGATTTTCACAAGGGCTACTCCCTCATTTCATTGCTGCCTCAGCTTTTAAAAGTTAAGCCCCTTATATAAAGTGGTCACCATTGTGAATCCCCTTACTCTACTTTATTATTTTTTGTAACACTTAACATTGATTTAATATTATATTATGTAGCTATTAATTGTTAAGACCTGGTTTTCCTAGAAGAATGTAAACTCTACAAGGGCAGAGACTTTGTCTTATTCATTTTTCTATCCCCTGACATGAGGTTCTATATCACTGTTTGTTGAATGAACCAACTTTTGCTTTAACCTATATCATGACTGCACAGAACTCTGTTGCATGGATGTTGCTTAATACATTTAGCTAATTCCCTTTTCTGGGATACTATAGATTGCACTGTAGTGGAATACTTAAATATGTTCTCTTAAATACAGCACTTTTCCACTGTTTTATCTAAGTTAATTACATCGAATGCATCAGCTTCCTAGGCATCCCTCCTTCCTCCTCTCCCTCTTCCCACAGTTTGTATCACAGACAGATTGATATCACACTTCTTACCTTGTCCTCCACGTACAGAAGCTTAAGTCCAATCTCTGACTGCTGTTGTGTCCCTATCCTACCTTCCCACTGTGGTTTCCCAGGGTGGGAAGAGGGGAGAGGATCAGGAAAAACAACTAATGGGTACTAGGCTTAATACCTGAGTGATGAAATAATCTATACAACAAACTCCGTGGCACAAGTTGACCTATGCAATGAACCTGCATATGTACTCCTGAACTTAAAAGTTTTAAAAAATCACTTAAGTATTGCAAAAAACACCCCCACACTTCCCACTGGACACTGGTTGGCCCTCTTATCAGTTGCTCTAAGCATGCTTTAATACATACTGTTCCCTCTTCACAGAATAGATTCCTATTTATCTACAAGCCTAAATTCCACCCATCTTCCAAGTCCCTTGCCAGTCCCTCCTGATTGCATTGTGCCTTCCTTGAATCTAGTCTGCATGATCTCTCACTTCTCCGTGTTTTACTCCCTATGTCGGACACACACGATGGCTTCTGACCATGTTCAGGTGCCTCATGAGCTTTAGCTACAGTCACGTTAAGTGCAACTTCCTGAAGCACTTTCAAAGTCCTATGCAGTCCTAGTCACAAAATAATAAATATTTTTTAAATTTAGCGGTTTTACCAAAGTAAAAACTTTTACGCAAAATGAGATTGTGTTTTGGGGAAAGAAATGGCATTATTCCAGATCAAATATTTTCATCTTTCCCTATATTTTCTTTGCATATTATCTATACACTATTCTGCCATAAAGAATTTTCCATTCTTAAATTCGTATTTGTAATTCTTGATCAACAACTATACAAAATTACTTCTGACAATTTTGTGGTTGTTTTAGATTTTGGCATGTCTTAACATTATTAAGTATGAAGTTATTTTTAAATGAGTATTTTCTTCAGGAATTATTTTAAAAATCATGATGAGGTGATATGTGAGTTACATATTTTTTGGTTTTCATTAAAGGGGCATGGGACATTACAAAAATCACAAAGTATACCTTTCTTTTTTTCCATCCTGTGTGTGGAGGGGATTGGGGGAAGATGCTTTCTTTTGGTGAGGATGTTACTGGGTGGGAACTGTAGTCTGAGCACTCAGGCAGAAGCATGAGCAAGGAATTCTGCAAAAAATATTCTGCAAGTCATATTAAAGCTGGGTCCACAAGTCACATGGTTTTGCTTTTTGATGTCAATAATATACATGATTATGCTGAAATCTCAGGTCTTTCTCTCAACCACCACATGCTTTTCAGTTGTGTGATCTCAGGATCCACCAAAGCACACCTAAGGCATCCTGGCAAATGCCCACTCACCATCTTCCTCGTAGAGAAGGCCCATGTGCATATGAGCCTCGGCTTCTTTCTTCCCACTGTCAATTTTGATCAGCTGAGCAATCTTAAAACATCGTTTGTAGAAGTGGTTCCTCACCCACTTGTCTTCAGAATTATTGAAGTAACAGGCCAGAGCATACAAGTTATTATACACATCTTCAAAGGATTCTTCAAAGAGAGAAAAGCATCATGAATGACATTGGAAAGATGTTTCATGGCACATCCTTTAGAATGGCAAACCAATATCATGACATTTACTTCCTATTTTTCCTTAAAGATGTGACTAAGAATTTTTAAAATTGAATCTAAATGCAAAAATTAATTTATTGTAACTATTAACTTCATTACAATAATTAAAGGATGTACAGATGAGTAAAGCAATGAAAGCCTTTCTGAAAACTTAGAACATGCTAGAAATTGACACTATTTGGTTGAAAACAGGAGATTTTCAGGTACAGGCCATAACAACAGCTACTAGCAATGTGCTTAGTGCTTTTGGAAGACAAGAGTACATGGTATCATTGAGTACTTTTCTCATTGGAGGTTTGAAAGTACTTAGAGATTCTAGAGGTGGCAGTGTTTCTCAGCCATGCCAAAAGATAATGTAAATGAAGAAAGCAGAATGGATATGAAAATACCAAGGTATTTCATATCATAAAAAAATGTCACAGGGTTGATAGATACAACAAATGATGATCAGAATGACCCTATCAGCTCCATATACTTTCTACCAATGTTTCTAGCACTACAAATTTCTAGCAATGTTAAGAAAGAGTAGACTTCTATGCTTCTGTTTTCTATGGGTACTTTTTTTTTTTTGCTGGAAATGCATAAAGACTAGTGATTTTTACTCAGATAGTTGTTAAACTCTTTTAGGTTTTTTTTTTTTTTCCTAAAGGATATCTAACCTCTATGTACATAAAAAGTATGTCCATTGATTGTGAATCAGTCTTATAAACCCCACTGTGATAGTAAACCTGAACAAAAAGTGTTAATAAGTCGTGCCTCAGCCCAAATTCATAATCTTTGTGTCTTCTGGATTTATGCTGAAAGTATAGTTGTATTATAAATATGCAGTGGTCTCTGGGTTACCCTTCCAATAATGTTTTAATAACAATAAGTATCTATTAGAATTAACTGATATTAATTGTTCACTAATACCAGGGGAGTCAACCCACATATTCCTGAAGGGATTACAATTATGAAAAATATTGTCCACTAGGACATATGTAAGATTAAAATCAAAACTCAGAAAAAAATGAAACAGGTTGATTACAACTAAGGGTAGTTTTACAGAACTGTAAATAAGTCACCCCAATGTTTCAAAAGAAGTTTCTATAACCAATTCTATTCCTTTACATACATTTTTTAATATATATACTTCTTTAAAAATTCCAACAGAAATTACGATTTGTAACAAAATATATTTAATAACTAGAAAACAAAATAAAAAGTTCTCCCTATCCTGGAAGTTGCTGGGGATTCTGGAGAGCCACTCTGCTTTTTGAGGACCCTCACAATAGGTGACAGCTCAGGCGAAAAGTGGAGCTGGGCACAGTCGCTCATGCCTGTAATCCCAACTCTTTGGGAGACTGAGTTATTTATTTGATGCAAATACTCCCAACTCACAATTACTTCTGGGCTTTGTCTTTTCCATTACGAACTTCCTACATAATATGAATACAACACTAAAGTCTGTTTTGTAATATTTCATATTCTTGGTTATATTTACTGATTAGAGAGTTATTGCTTTTAGAAGCCAGTAAATAAAACATTTTGTATTTTCCACTTTAATAAAAAGGATATATATAATTAAAAATATATGCAATCCTGAAACTTTTTTTATATTTTAGTAATTAAACCTTAATGTAGAAATATTCCCAACATTTCATAAGGTTTTCTATTTTTTAAGGAATGAGTTAGATAAGCTACCAAGATTATATATTTAAAGACTACTTGTCAGCTAAGCTATTTTTCTATGAAAAAAATGGATGGTTTTCCAGAATATGAAATATAAAAGAATATATTCAAGTTTCAAATCTTTGGGCAATCCACATACATGCCCTGTAGCCTTTACAAAGGCTATAAGCAGCTTTCTCTCCTTGCTTGTGGACCACTTCTTTAAATAGTCAGCAGTTATATTCAGAAGATGAAAATTAGTTTTATTGTGGGTTTCCTATGCTCCTTAAAAAGAAGATTCTACAATGAAATAAATTTGGGAAACAATTTTCCGATTTCCTTTTTCAGTAAGCCACACAATATACATCAGCATGTTAAATGTTCTGATTAGTCCTGCAATAAATCAACCTGCTTAACCTCAGTGTTATTTCACGTGGCGTTTCTCAAACTTATTTCACCAGAATATTTTTTTTTTGTTTTGCTTTACATAACATCTGTAAATACCTGTGGAATTTCGCTTTAGTAAAATATAATTTGTGTATCTTAAACAAACATTATTAGAAAAAAAATTGCTGCTCAACCCTTGATAAATTTAAAAGTCAAGTGTAAATAATGTTTGAATTATCTATTGATTTTGTTACCCATTGCCATTATTGCCATCTCTTCACCAGCCCCATGGGGCACAAGACCCTAATCAGATGTTACAGATGGTACAGCAATGATTCATGACAATGGATACATTTTTAAAAATGTATCAGGGACAAAGAAACACTAACAAATGGAAAATAACCCAAAAAGAAATGATTAGCTTACTTTAAACACACCTCTGCTATAAAACAGCAAGTGATATTTTGTAAAGTAATTTAAATAACTCTAGGTTACTGCTCTGTAAGTCTCAAGGGACAGAACTGACCTGAGATGACTATTGTTAGTGCCATAGCTTTGATTAAATGAACTTCACTGTGACCCTAGAGTGATGGTCCTTTCAGTGAGAAGCAATGAGAATGCTCAGTAACATGCTCTCTCAGGAAAATTGTCTCCAATCTCACAACCACCTGGAATGGAACTTTAAGACACTATTAACATATTTCTATATTCTAGGCATACATGCACATTTTAAGATTTAGGATTCATTCAAGTTAATAAGAATGAATGTGCATATCTCATTTTCTGGTACATTCCTTTTTTATTGCATTTTAGGTTTTGGGGTACATGTGAAGAACATGCAAGATTGTTGCATAGGTACACACGTGGCAGTGTGATTTGCTGCCTTCCTCCCCCTCCCCTATACCTGGCATTTCTCCCCATGCCATCCCCCCCAACTCCCCACCCCCAGCTGTCCCTCCCCTATTTCCCTCCAACAGACCCCAGTGTGTAGTGCTCCCCTCCCTGTGTCCATGTGTTCTCATTGTTCAACACCCGCCTATGAGTGAGAACATTCCTAATTCAAACCACAATTTTTCTCTAATAAAGTTCATGTGTTGAATGTGGAAAAAAAGTTATGACAATTTTTTTTGAAAAAAGGCCACACAAATGTTTATATGCTGAAGTTTTTCTAGTAATATTTTTGCAATAATTTTAATTTTCTATATTTCAATCAGACAAAAGCCACTGTATTTTGTGGGAGATAACCCTACAGAAGAGACATTGGCTACCATAGAGTTGGACTTTGGGCTGGGCACAGTCACTCATGCCTGTAACCCCAGCTCTTTGGGAGACCGAGGCAGATGGATCACTTGAGGTCGAAATCAGCCTGGCCAACATGGTGAAACCCTGTCTATACTAAAAATACAAAAATTAGCTGGGTATGGTGGTGCGTGCCTGTAGTCCCAGCTACTCAGGAGGCTGAGGCAGGAGAATTGTTTGAACCTGGGAGGTGGAGGTTGCAGTGAGCTGAGATGGTGCCACTGTACTCCAGCCTGAGTGACAGAGTAAGAATCCGTCTCAAAACAACAACAAAAAAAGCAGTTGGACTTTGTTAACTTTTGAATTGGAGAAATGTTTTTACTTATAAATATAGCAATTTTCCTATAAGAAATATTATAAATTAAAATGTTTTCTACCCTGAAATAGACTGGCATCTTAGGTTCTTTATAAAGTGAAAAAGCTTTACAACAAGCTGGCTCATATCTATGACACTTTATGATGAGTGATGTATTTAGCTTATATTTACACTATCTTCAATGAAAGCCTCAATTTAAAACAGTGAATATGATAAAATTCAATGGAATAAAATGGCTAATAATTAGTTCTACTTTCGGTGTAAATATAACTTTAGAATTTTGGGCTAATACTGGAATGTAGGTTGTTTTGTTTTGAGATGGAGTTTCACTCCTGTCACCCACACTGGAGCACAATGGAACAATCTCAGCTCACTGCAACCTCCACCTCTTGGGTTCAAGCAATTCTCCTGCCTCAGCCTCCTGAGTAGCTAGGGTTACAGGAACCTGCCACCATGCCTGGCTATTTTTTTTGTATTTTTAGTAGAGACAGGGTTTCACCATGTTGGCCTGGCTAGTCTAAAACTCCTGACCTCAGATGATCTGCCCACCTTGGTCTCTTAAAGTGCTGGGATGGTAGGCGTGAGCCACAGTTTCTGACCAGAATGTAGGTTTTTTACAATAGCACTTTTTATTTACAACAGTTAATTTCTTGAGAAATTATTGTAAATCATATTTTAAAGTTCACCAAAATACTTTTTTTCACATCTATCCTGCAGTGAAACCCTTTTCATAATATAAATAACCACGTCCTGTCCTGCCCCCTGCCACACACACACACCCTAGTTCATTTGTTTTGTTGTTCACATTTTTGTGTGTCTCATATTCTTAAGTTAGGTCACAACCTGATGGAAAATACATATCAACTCCAACACATAGAGACCCTTCTAATGTTGTTAACATATCCCCATAGATTTTTTCCATGGTACCACTGGGTAACAAAAAGTTGCTAATACTTTATTTTCTCATAGAAAAGCCTGAAATGACATGTAGACATTGTCATGTTGAGGCCTGAGTTTTTCTTTTTGAATCCTGTGGTATTTTCAAAAAAAAAATGGAAAAAAGAATTATTTAGAACACCAAATTTACATGCCAAAGTCTTTTTTTGGATTTCTTTTTTTCTCTGATTATAGCTGACTAGTTTAAATGATCAGTTCTTAATATGTAACTAAGAAATATTTATGACAATGTCAATATAATTAGTAAAGAGATGAAAATATTTCTTTAATACTTGGAATGTATATTAACTTTCTAGAAAATTTTGAAATGTGAAAAAGAAATTTATTAGAAATGATGTCATGGAAAATATAAAATTAGCAATTTTATTTGCAATTATGAATTGCAGACTTTTCATGTCTTTTTACTATTTACTAAGACAAATTCTCCAATTCAAATTGGTAGGACTTCTTGACCCAAACTTCAAAGTCTACTATCTAAACTTAGGAAAATCAGTGTGATTTTCAAGTTATAGTACTATTTGAAAGTATCTCCTCTGTGAAAGTCAATATTCAGATCATGTACACAGAAAAACTATAGAAAGGTTTAAACCTAATGATAGGAACTATGTTAATTCATGGAAAGTTCTGGAGATGTTATTAGGTGCTATGCGTTGTCTTCCCTGGCTCAGAATGACATCACCAGAATGCCCCTGTGTCTGGGAAGCCCCATGATCCAACATTCCCTATCATTAATTCCATAAATACATTTAATTGACTGGGTTGAAGCGTGCTAAGTTGTCTTAATGTTTCAGATTCATACATGAAACAATCTGGAATCTTCCCCCAGGTGCTCATCGTCCTGGCTCATGCTGTGCTCTGCCCACAGTCCCACCACTTACCTTTCCTCTCGGCGTCCTCAGCCCTGGTCAGGTAGTGGTAGAAGTGATCCAGTTTATCAGGTTGCTCCTCCAGGGGCTTCTGCAGCCAGAAGAGGGACCTGACTCTCGCAGCCTCCCTCATGGCATCCCACTGCTCCATCAGAGCGAAGAGCTCGGTGAAGGACTTATGATAACCGTCTCGCAGCATGTCCACACAGACGTTCTTCTTGTAGGAGTTCCTATAACTAGGAATATGAATCAGAACATTCAAAGCTTTATGTTAATCCTTTCAGTCTGCATGGTGTTTTCATTCTCTAGTAATTAAAGGTTGAATCATGTTGCCTTTTTTCCCTCAGTGAAAGCACTAAAAACTATCGAAAGATCTTTGCCTCAAACACTTATAATTGAACAACTTCTGTTTAATGAAAGATGCCAGAAGCTATCTAAATACGGTAATTTTAATGAAATTACATTATAAACATATCAGTTCCAGAGCTGAGTTCCATTTGATAAGGACAAATAAGACAGTTGACTGATGAATATTCAAAAGCTTGATATATCAGCCTCCTACCAAAAAAAAATCCTCCAAAAAAAAAAAAACTCCAACAAGCTAAGCAAAAATAAAACTTGCCATTTAATATCAAAATAATATTCCCACTATATTAGTAGTTTCACTGTATGTTACAGAAGTTCATCATTCTTTCATTCATGCAGAAAATATTTATTGAAATCTATTACGAAATATATATTTTAAAATTATTTCGGTCAGAATTAAGTTAATGATTAATAATTCTATGCTAACTTCAATAATTAAATGCAAGAAGATAGACTGACAGATGAATATTCCACTTAGTCACAGGACAAATAGGTACTGAGTTTCCTACTAAGTGCCAGGCACTGTTCTATTCCAAATAGTTTCCATGCCCTTGTGATGCTTGCATTCCAGTGGGAGAACGTGACTAACAAGTAAGTAAGCAAATGACAAATAATTTCAAATGATGAAAATTTCTATATAGGAAATAAGCAGAACTGTGAGATAATAGCTGTGTAGTGGCCATGATGCCATTAAAAGAACAATTAGATGCCAAAAGATATAGCTTCATACTAATTATGTTACATTCTTTGAAATAAATAGGACAAATGACATGATGTTATACTACTGGCAACAAAAATTCCATGTGGAGTGAAAACAGCCCAGAACACCAAGATTGAGTTCAGTTTGGCCTCACCTCCCTGGGTCTCCAGTCTTCTCATCTCTAAGCTGTGTTTATTAGTATATGCTACCTACATCAGGGGATTCTTCTAGGAACCAAATGAAATTAGGTATGTGAGAATGCTCTGGGAAATGTGAAATCTCACTGCTGCTTCTCAAGTCCTCATTATGCATTAGATTCACCTACAGAGTTCAAAAAACAAATAACAAAACAAAACAAAATGCCGAGGCTTGCATCTGCCAAGAATTTCTTATCCAGTGGATCAGCTTAGGTACACAACAAATAAATAAGGAGTGGCAAGCAGGAGAGTGGTGAGACAGGAAGTTTAGAAAAAAAGGCAGGGTCCAGATCATGAAGAGATCTCGTGGTACAACAACAGTGAGAAATCTGGACTCCAGGCTAGGAGGGAGGTAGAGTTACTGGAGACCAGAATCAGGTAACTGACATGACGAGACTGCATTTTACAAAAGTCATCTGGAAGAAGTGCCCAGCTGAACTGCAACCTTCCCCTATCTGGTAGCCAGACTATGATAGAACTAGCCTCTAAAGAGAATAAAGAAGCCACATGGACCCTAGATCAAAAGATCAAAAGCCAACATTTAGTATGAGAACAAGATGTATTTGGAATGGGGAAGAGAAAAAGGAATACTGGTTGTTACTCATTCCTGTCCTCCAATTGAGATAGAGGAGGGGAGTATGGAGAAAAGCAGTAAGATGCTGGGGGGCCATGTCCTCTTTCTCTTCCTCACTCCAGTCAAATGGAGGGGCTCCGAGAGCTGAAAAGTCAACATCCTATGAAATGCAGCAGGAGCCAAGAATCAAAAACACACATCCCGCTTCCCATCTAGGGTTCTTGAAGGCAGGGAGGATTACCAACATCCCTCTTCCCACCTCCCCATATGCAAGGGCATGCAAAGGCAGCAAAAGTCCCTGCATAGGATTTCCAGGCAGAGGAGGACCGGGACCAGAACCAGCCCTATAATTGCCCCTAGCTCCTGAATGGTATAGGAGAAGGGACTTAATATTCCAGTGGGCTCCATGTGTGGCCCAAAAGTTACTGGGAAGAGAGGGCTGCTATGTCTGCCACAATGTCATCTGGCCATAGTGAGGAGATATATGCGAATGACTGTTCATGGGCTGCCCACCTGGGACTGAAGGAAGACACAGCTACAACTGATATGAGCAGTACTGGGGAGCTCCTGAAGGGTTCAGGTCAGCGTTATTTCCAGAGCTGATGGAATGAAGACGGATCAGGTGCATCAGAAATGGACACACGTACAGGACCTCATAGTCTACGAATGCATTCAGCTATCAGTAAAAGAAACTTTTCTCACAGTGCTGTGAAAATGGAGGTTTCTAATTTTCTTGCCTAAGAGTAGGCAGCTGAGGGCCTTGGTTCAGTGGCCTGGCAAGTTCAAGGCCATGTCCCTGGGATGATCTTGACCTTTCCCTCCTGCTGGTCCCTTACTGGTTGCCACAAGGCTGCTACAGCTTCAGACATTATGTCCACTTTTAAGACAGGAAGGAAAGGGAAAGTGGGGTAGCAATGGCTGCATCTTTATTTTAGGGAACAAAACCTTCCTGAAACCACCAGCAGACTTCCACTTTTCTACTGGCCAGAACTGTGTCACTGCCCCACTCCTTACCTTGCTGCAAGGAATCTGGAAAAACACATACCCTGCCTGCTCTGGGGCATGCTGCTGCCCCAAGCAAAACTAGATTTATGTTCGCAAAGACAGAAGAAGGAATGGATACTGGCTGGATAAATGCAGTGACAATCATCAAGTCCTACAAGTCAGGGGTGTCCAATCTTTTGGCTTCTCTGGGCCACATTGGAAGGAGAATTGCCTTGGGCCACACATAAATACACTCATACAAATGACAGCTCATGAGCTAAAAAAAAAAAAAAAATCACAAAAAAACCTCACAACCTTCTTAAGAAAGTTTATGAATTTGTGGTGGGCTGCATTCAAAGCCATCCTGGGCCGCATGTGGCCCACGGGCCCTGGGTTGGACAAGCTTGTTCCAGGACAGGATCTGAAAATAAATGCTGTTACCCCAGGAGGGTTACCAGATGAAATGTAGGAATCCCAGGTTTGATTCAATTTGAACATCAGATAAACAATGAATGATCTTTTAATTAGAAGTATGCCCCAAATATTGAATAGAGCATACTTATAGTAAAAAAAAAAAAAGTTTCTTGATTTTGAAAGACTGAACTGCATACTCTGTATTTCCATTTGCTAAATCTAGTAACTCTACTCACCTGAATCCCTCACTAGTGCGATGCTGTTTCTATATAGGAAAATACAGGGAGGGGAAGAAGTTTCAGAATCTTGAACAACCTGAGAAACTGCCAAATTGGACTGACTTTACCTGAGAGTGACAAGATTGGATTTTTACACTAGGGAGGATCAAGGCTCAGGGCCAGGAATTAAAATTAAGTTATAAAAAAATAAAGACTTTCAATTTAGCATTCTCAAGTCTGTGACTGAGAAATCACATCTGATCCAAGAGAAGGGATGGGAGGAGGGTAAAACTGGGAGCAGGAAGAACGGATGGGAGACTGGTGGTCACAGAAAGGAGAGGTGCTGGGGGTGGAACCACGGTAAAGGTGGAAGGATGGAGGGAAGTAGGTGAATTCAAAACATATTTAGGAGACAAAAATATGGATTACTTGGTAATTCAAAGGATATCGGGGGTGAAGGAAAGGGAAGAGCAAGGATGTCAACCAGGCTTTGGGACTGCGTAACGGGTAACTGGTAATTTGCTAAAGAGTCCCCTCTTTGGCAAAATACACTAACACTAGTGATAGATGATGGGCTTTAAAAAATCACAAAAAAACCTCATAACCTTTTTAAGAAAGTTTATGAATTTGTGTGGGGAACCTGAAAGGATGGACAGGTTTGAAGAAAGATAATGAGTTACGGTTTGGGTAACTGGAGTTTCAGGAGCCTGAAGGGACCTCCAAGTGTTACCGCAGAAGGCAGTTTGGGGAGTGGCATAGGAGGCCTGAGGGGACAAGGGGTTGGAATCTTGCCTGACACAAGCAGTGCCACTAAGCTCCCACCAGATCTTCCTAGGAGAGAAGAAAACATTTGGGGGCAAAAATGAAGAAAATTATAAATAGATAAAAATTAAAATATTGACTGTAAGTGATACAAATAAATGCTAGATAGGGCAGTTGGACAGCCATCTCAGTTCTAATCCCAACAGGGTCAGAAAATTCAGAAAAATCACTCTCTGGGCCTTCTTTCCCTCACCTGGAAGATGAAGGTGCTTTTGCGGGGTTTGGCCCAGCCAGCATCTAGCTCCACGTCCACAGGGGGGCGCACTCCAAAAGTATTTCGCAAATAACCAGTCCCACGTTGTGTGTAGTCTTGGTGGCACGGAAATTCAAGGACTCCCTAGCCAAGGAGTGAGTTATTGACCCAAATTAGGCCAACTGGTCTCTCTCCCAAAATTTTGAAACCTGAGACAAGCAACACAAAAGTGTAGGAGGTTGCTGGCGCTCAATTAATCCAGAAGAATCTTGACAAGATACCCTAGCAGTTCTTGCTACCTATCTATGTCCATTCGAGGGGGCCAGTCTGGTGCTTTCCTTCTGATCTGGGTTCTCCTCTAAATTCCACTCTGTCCTTTCAATGAAATTATTTCCAGTTGATTTAGTCAGAATTGGTTTCTGCTGTCTGTGACCAAAGAACGCTAAGTGATTCAGAGGGTGTTGGATGATCATTATTTCCACTACCTCTTTCAGCCTCAAACATCTATGATATATAACTAACATCAATTTTTAAAATTTCTAGTACATTTTTTAAAAAGATCATTCTTTACATGAGATGTTACAAATAGAAATGTATTTAAATATGCATATAGAATTATGCTGGTATCGTCCCTATTTTACACACACATGTGCACGTAAGAAAGAACAATTATACTGGTTTAATAAATAGGTTCCTATCTAAACCTTCATAGCTAATCTGAATTATTTCTTTTAACAGGAAAATCTTCATTTATTAAAATTGGCTGTC